TGGTCTGTCCTGCTATTTGATTACTATTCTTGAAGAGTAAGACCTGTCATATTCATAATCTTCACACCAGAAACAAATTTTTGGTTGTTGGCAATGCAGATGCTAAAATGAGTGCTGTTAATAACTTCTGGATGACTTTGCTGGAGCAATGTTTAGACACAATTATGTATGCATGAGCAATTTGGCAGAGTATATGGCAGAGTTTTGTGAGCATCATAGGTACAAGTTTGGACAAAAGGCTTAATCTTGCAAGAGCTGAGTCAGGATATTTCTCATTGACTTTAGTAGGAATTGGAGACATTCATTATTATATAGGAGGCATTTCTTCAGTTTCTGGACTTGATATTTCTGACTGAAAACTGTACCAAAATTTTTTTTTGCACTTTTATTGTGTGTTTTTAGAAGGAATAGGAAAATAAACATTCACGATGTGGGCACCTATGGTAAAGCCTCCAGTTATGCATTTTGTGCTCATATCAGCAATTCTGTGCCTAAAAATGTGGTTTAGATTAATAAAAAATAATTTGATGGTCTTTGACTTGAGCTTTTACGTCCCATTTGATATTATTTGATTACCTAAATGATTTGTTCAGAATGTCGTCTTAGTCCATTCATATTAGCTTTTAAAGTTCAGTAAGCAGATGGCCAGTATTTATTGCCTAAGTTTTATACCTAATTGTCACTTTATGCAGAATGATTTCTAGTTCTAAGTGATTGGTTTTCTGATGATCTGAACTATATTATGAGATCTGTTGTCTTATAATCTATCACATTTTAAATACCATTCTTGTATTAAATAGTGTCGTAGGTTGGCAATAATGAATGTTAAATAGTATGTACTTTGATAATTATTTTTTCATTTTATGTAGAGCCAAGTCACTAAGAGTGGCTGTATACCTAAAAACTATAGGTTAATTTAGGCTATTTTTAAAAGCAGTTTGAATTTTTTGGCCTCTGACATTAGATCGGGGTGGGCAAAATGGTGGATCTGGCTTGTGGCCAGATTCCATTTCTCAACAGCCCCTGCATGTGTTGTTGCAGCTGGTTTCCATGGAGACCCAGTAGTGGTGGCCCTGGGACAGTGTGGAGACAGGGTTTCCATGGAGACTGGCCCCAGCAGCACTGGCAGGGTGCATGATTGTGGGGGGTAGCTGCTCTGTGGCCAGGGCTGGGATCTTGCAGTGGTGAAAGCGTGGTCTGGAGCTGGGGCACAGTCATGATCCGCTGCCTGCACACCCCTGCCCAGGGTATGTGGGCGGTGGAGTCCAGCTCTGCCTCAGCTCTGGATGACGCTGTCACCACTGCAAGATTGGAGCCCTGGCCCCGGAGCAGCCCCCTGTCCAGCCACACACCCTGCCAGCTCTGCTAGGGTTGGTCCCCATGGAAACTCTGGCCCCACGCTGTCATGACCCTGCTGTTCCTGGGGTCTCCATGGCAACTGGCTGCAGCCATGCATGCAGGGGCTGCTGGGAAATGGAGTCCTCTGTGAGCCCAATCCAGCCTCCTGTCCAGACTTTGCCCACGCCTGCTTTAGATGATGCTAATAATACTTGTAGGTATTTAGGAAAAAAATAAAGATGATGATGATGCATTTCTCTAACTTTTTGGGAAATACTGAAGAAAGACTGTGTAGATCCAGGTATCCCTGTCCAAGAAATCTATGGATTATGTCCAGGAGCTATGCCGGAAAGGGCGTTCCCTCTAATGTAACTCCTGAAATTCTGCACTGGAGACTCCCAGAAAGGCTAGGGAGTGAAGATATTATATATAGGAAATGAACTTTGTTTCAAAACCGTCAACCAAGAGAGACATTTTAAGCACCACAAACTTCTGTTTTCATCATTCATCCGCAGAAAACTCTGCCTACAAGTTAAGAGAATAAGGAGCAACATCAAGCATATGCTTTTAGTTCCTGCCACCATTCCAGAGAGGCTTCTTTTTATACAGGGAAGTTGACCCTAGGAGGAAGAAATAACTCTGTCAGCCTTTTTTTTTTTTTTTTTTTAAGGATGGTTGTAATAGGCACAGCCGCAGAACCCAGATTACCCACAAAGAATCCAGAGACCATCATCCAGACGCACTGAGATGGGCTGAATGCAGCCCAAATAATAAGTACTGAGATGTCTTTAAAGACGGGTAGATTGTATTTGAACTTAGTAAGTCATGGGGAGATTTGATTAGCATGTAGCCTGTGGTTCCTGAATTGCCCAAAGATTTAAAAAATCTGAATTAACTGCATTATAAGCATAAATAAATGCACACTGAGCATTTATTATATTGTTAATTAAAACACACTATTTATTACAATGCAATAACACATGCGCAGATTTCATAGACATTAGGGCTAGAAGGGACCTTGAAGATCATCAAGTCCAGCCCCCTGCCCAAGGGGCAGGAAGTCAGTGTCAAAGGATCCCAGCAAGATAAGCATCCAATTGTTTCTTGAATGAGTCCAGAGTAGGTGCCTGCACCACTTCTGGAGGGAGTCTATTCCAGGCCTTGGGAAAATAACTGGAAATATACAAAATAAACTCAGTAATGTATGACTTAGTTGTTGGGCTTTGTAGAATAAACAAGTTCCCAAATAAGGCAAAATCAATATGTAAGTATGACCAGCAGTATAAAGTTCCTGTATAAATAGGAAGGTCATTTAAAAATTATTCCTGTATGAACTTGCTGCTTGATACTCTTTCAGCATGGTATGATACAGTATGTATATCTGTTTAGTAAAACAACTATTTAGAATTTAGTTCCTAGAATGAATGACAAGATCTGCAAAACTGAATGGGGCTTTTGTGTGATGCCTTTTTTCTTATTTAGTTTGCTCGTATTACTAGTATTGTGCATATTGTTTCACTGGAAGTTCAGTGTTTACATGCCCAAAAGACTGCTATTAAATACACTTTTAGCTAGTTTATGCCTGTCTAGGTAAGCAGTTTGCTTTATGCTTGAAGTGTGTAACTGAGATTAAGGAAGTTGCATCTAACATGTTTTGTGAATATGGGGCACTGTTAGCCCTTAAGTGGGGGGGGGCACAGTTGACTTAAAACCTTGTCAGTTTAAAAATAGTCTTAAAAGAAAATACAGGTTCTACCCTTGCCTCTAAGCAGTTTTGCCAATTTTGAGCTCAACTGTGACTTTACCAGAAGCTCTTAGTGAGGGGGAGAATCACATTGTTGCACTGGCCCTGTGATTTGGAACTGATTTGGAACCAATGTCACCTTCAGGCCAGGTACAGACATAACACTTTTACCAATATAAATGATTAGAAAATGATCTATACCTAAACAGAGCAGAAGTTCAGCACACAAAACCAGTATACCTGTAACAGAACAGAAGTTTGGTGTGCACAGACTGGTTTAAAAATGGCAGAACCTGGTCTAAGATTTGCCACCCCTTCCCCTGCACCGCCCCCCGACCAGAGGGCCAGTGTGTGTTCTGTTCACTACCTATCTAAATTACACCGCTTACAGAAAACCGCATAACTTTCGCAATCTAACCCCTGGTCTTTGCTAATACAGGGTGCAGACTAGTGATTCTCAACCAGGGTGCTAGGGCACCTGGGGTATCACCAATTCCTTTAAAGGGTGCCATGAGGTATGAAGAGGTGAGTGAAGTGTGAGGCCATGAGCAGATAAGCACAGGCTAAAGCTTGTCCCTGTCTGGAAAATCTCCCACCCTGACTGCTTGGTTCCTCCTTAAGAAGGCAAGCTCTATAACATTTACATTAGTTTTTGAAATTGGGTACCACTTAGTTCACAAAAGTTATAGAGAGGTGCCTCAGGTCCAATGAAGGATGCCCTGAGTCCAAACGAGGTTGAGAACTATGGTATGGGGCAGGGGTTGTCAACTGGGGATAGACGTATGCCTGGGGGTACTTTGAAAGGACCCAAGGGGTATGTGTGGGTAGGCAGGGATGGAACGCCATCCTGTGCTGCTGCCTCACAGGGGCAGGTGCTGGCTGGCTGGCCGGCCGGCTTTGGGGGGAAGGAATTTGCATGTGGTGGCCACTGCTGCCCCACCCAGCTCCGTGACCGGCTGCTGCCATACCCCCCCCATCTTCCTGCTCCATGACCAGTTGCTGGGGGTACACTGCTCAAAAAAGGTTGAAAAGCCTTGGTATAAGGGGATGTAACAATTTTAGCAATGTCAAAGGATACCAATATAAGCTGATACAGATGTAACAGTTGCACCTTATGGTTCTGTAGTGATACCAGGTATAGCAGAGTGACGTCAGCTTTAACCTCTCTTCATTTAGGGTTGAAGTTATGGTGACTTGGTTATCTTGTTTTGCTAGAGGATCATGCGTGCAAGTCAGGTTCATTGTAGCAGCTTATGGGTGTTCCTGAGCAGTAGTAGCTCCTCCTCCCCATTTTAAAGTGACAAAAATATATATTAGTCCATCCCACAATTACAGAGCTATACTGGGTGTTAAGTTAGCAACAGAGCCAAGGATTCCATCTCCTTGCCTATCTGTTTGTGGAGAATTGGAGCATAATGGTTCTGTAGAGCCTGCTTTCTCCCCTGCAGTTGCTACCCAAGATATATATGGGCATGAGAGCAAACAAGTGTCCTAAGCTCAGTTATGACCTTGCACTTCTTCTTTACCCAGGTCAAAATCTAGTTCTTAATTTGTTTTAGTCACAATTTTTCTTTTTTTTTCCTCCCTCACCTGTTGCTGTCTGAAAATTCAGCAGAGGAAATACCTCTTTATAGGGAAATCAAATATCTATTACAAAGTAGTATTGCATAAAAGAAACAATTTGAAAAATAAGCGTTCTTCCCTATTCAGTCTTTTTCAATTGGAATCATTTTAGATGCTACTTGAAATGTTAGTAATAAAATCTTTTAAAAATAAAACTGTCACTTTTGAGTTGCCTATGATGCTGTAAGTTGAGTTAGAGAGCATTTTTTTAAGATACCTAAAAATTATAAAAAGTTACCCTGTACAGCAGCAGCCTTAAACTGAAATAACAACTGCATTTTTCTCTTTGTTTTAGGTATCAGTTCTTTTTGCAGGTAAAGCAAGATGTTTTGCAAGGCCGCTTGCCCTGTCCTGTCAACATTGCAGCTCAGCTTGGAGCATATGCAATACAGTGTAAGTATGCCTGGCCACCTGAGAACTCATTTCTTTTATTAAGAAATTATGATTTATTAAGTGTTTACCATAAATAGAAACTTGGCCATAATCCTTTGTATGTTAATTAAAAATAAACTTGATCAATTTGAACAGGTATATTATCAATTTTAAATGCATTGGAACAAATTATAGATAGCCACTTACATGCAGTTTAAATTGGCACAAAAAGAGAATGCAAAGTGGATACTATGTATTATAATCTGAAATATATAGTAAAAATGCTTGAGTTGCCAAGGAACATCTACACAGAGAACTTTTTATTAATACCCAGTGACATTATGAGTAAGGGCTTTATCTACCACTCAGCACTCGGTTTTTCTATGGCATATTTCCTACTTCATCAAATAAATTATAAATCTGAAGAGCCATCAGCAGCCTCCACACAGCACTGTTGATCTACCAAAATATTGCAGTCCTGCAAAAATTACATTATGTTAATACTTAGATGCCTCTGCTTGAAGATTATAAAAATGGGCTGTGTTTTCACTGAAGTGGGGGATTTTAATTCTGGCAAATTTAGCTTAACAGAAACAGATGCTGTATCTGATATACTTGATGAAATAAACATAAAACACTTCACATTAATGGCCAGTAAGGAGGGAGCTGTCTACCTACCTGTAATTTTGCTTATGTCTCAGCTAAAATGCAAAATCTGGTAGTCAGGGACATGTGATATAGATTTTTAAATATTTAGAACTATGGATGCATATATCAGTACATAGAAAACTCATTACTTACAGTTTTCACCTGTAATCTGTATTAAAAGAAGATAATTTATATTATCAATAATCCAGCTGATTTAGTAGCAGCTAAAATAGTATTACTTTCTAAGTCTATTTGAGAACGCCATATTTGAGACATCAGAAACAAATGAAATAGCTCATATCATATGAAATATTCAAAGGAGATTAAAAGCAATCAGGACTTGTAGTAGAGATGATCTCTTTTATTAGACCAACAAAATTTTTGGAAAAAAAATTCTTTAATTGCAAGCTTTCGGGCACAAACACCCTTCATCAGGCATTGGAGAAAAGATTGTAAAAGTTCTCCTGGGTAGAAATGAAAGTTCATATTTCATAGGATTTCACAGAGGAGTCAATAGATGGAAAAACCCTCTGGGTAGTCAGTTCATAGCTGGTATGAAGCCTCTCACCTCCTGTGAGGATCTGTGATGATGCAGATAACATTGAAACAAAGGCAGGATCTCAGGTTTTAGGTGGTCACAGTTGCTTCCTGCTTGGAAAGATATGAAAATTTTGTTTTAAAAACTCGGCTAAAATTTGGTATATTCCGTGTATCGGGTATCCAGGTTGTAGCCGTATTGGTCTAGAAGAAAGGGAAAGGAGATTAAGGAGTTTCATAGCATGCAACATGCCTCTTAGAAATTAAAGTATGTTGATTTCAGTTTTTTCCTCCTCAAATTATAATTCCACAAATTATAACCTATTGACCTGTTCCACAAGTCAACAGTTGTTTATATGATACTAATCACGGTTACATTAGATGCTTTCTTTTAAGTGCCATTGAGAAACAGCTAGGAATAGCTGCACATGAGGGCTTAGGGCATGGAAACCAGGAGATAAAAAGGGCTACGTTTAGCACAAGCAGGCATAACGTCCATTGACTTCATAAGGAGATTTACCCTCTCACATTAAGACTGAATTTGACTGAAATAGATAAATATTTTACCCAGTTGAAAATATTTACCCAGAAGCACAAGCACAGAAATCTCATCCGTAAGCTTCGCTGAGGCACCTACACTATTCTTTAGTCTGCTTTGCTTTTATTAAAGGCTTGTTTAAGCCCAGAGTTGCTGTTCTTGTTATTGATTTGATTTCAGTCAGGGAGTTCACTTTATCTGAGGGAGGGAAACTCCTGTGTCTCTACGGAATTGTTTTGGTGACATTAAAATGTGTATAAATGAAATATGAGCAGATATGGGGCATTGTTTTTCATTTAATTATAAGTAAAGAGATTTGGAAGTGATCATAGCTTTAGTGGGTGTTTGGGGAGTTCCAGTGTACCAGGTCTTCCAAAGAGCCCTTGCCATTTTAAGGTACCAGGTGCACAGCCTTTACTCACTTTGAATAGCACGTACCCACACAAATCATCCCATTAACTTTAGTGGGATTTTTCATATAAATGCTACTTAATGTAAATAAGAATGGCAGAGCTGGGCTCTCATTAAGGTACCTATTATTAGGGACCTACTGAAATGGTGATTTTGTGAAATCCAGCATTGCCCATGACATCCACAGATCGAAAAATAAATAAAACTTACAGAAAGTAAAATGGTGGCTCCCCAGAGGAGCCAGCAGTCTTCAGGGTGCTGCTGCAGCTTGTCTAGGTGGGGAATGGGGGCATATGACAGCCAGCTCTCGCAGCCAATCAGCAGTGAGGAGTGGGGTTATCGAGTCCCTCAAATTTGACAGGCCCCTACCTATTATATAGCTGTATGCAAACATAAAAAATATGCTTGAATATTTTGTCTGAAGCGTTGTAATGTTGGTCTTTAGTATACAGATGAACTTAAATCTTCTAAAAATTGAACTCAGCACACCAACTCATTTTATGTTCGGCACTAACTAGAATATGGCAAAAAGTTTTTATTGCTTTGGACTTAAGAGGTCATAGACTTCATATTGAATTTTCTAGCTCCTGAACTTTCTGTTCCTATAAAAAAAAAAAAAAAAGTGTTGCTAAAGAAATTGCTCTTTTAAGATTGTGACCAATGGTCTAGACAGTTCTGTTCATAAATTAAATGCGTAAGATTGTTTTGACTTTTACACATTTAGTAAAAAAAAAAAAAAAAAGCCTTTCCTTTTGCTGCTACATAATGAGTTTACAGGGTTACTTAGGAAAAGGTGTCCTGGCACATGTTGGTTGATTAGATAACACATCTTTGGGGTAACCTAAAAATGAAATGTTCTTACACTTGTGACATTTTTTGTTCATGTCTCTCCTAGCTGAACTGGGAGACTATGACCCATACAAACACATGGCAGGTTATGTGTCAGAATACCGGTTTGTTCCAGACCAGAAGGAAGAACTGGAAGACGCTATAGAACGGATTCACAAAACTCTAATGTAAGAATACTATTTTGTTAAGAACTTTGCATGGGAAATCTTGTGGTGAGAATACAAGGAAAAAGGGAGCTAACATAGTTTTTGATATTATAATGCCAGAATAAAGGTTGGTAGAATTTAGTATTTAGTACACAACATCTTGCTATGCCTATCGGAAATCTAGTGGGTCTAATAAAGATTGAATGTATATTCAGAGTTGGTACAGTTTTCATAGATTTCTAGGTTCGGAAGGGACTTGGTAGATCATCAGGTCTGACCCCCTGCTCTAGGGAGGAAAGAGTGCTGGGGTTAAGTAACCCCACCCAGATGTGCCTGTCTAATCTCTTCTTGAACACCTCCAAGGTAGGGGAAAGCACCACCTCCCTTGGAAGCCCATTCCATATTTTGGCAACCCTTACCATAAAGAATTTCTTCCTTATGTCCTATCTAAATCTATTCTCTTTCAGTTTGTGGCCATTATTTCTGGTAACCCTGAGGAGTGCCCTGGTATATGCAAAAATAATTCAAGATTCAGGTACAAGGTTCATAGATTCATAGATGTTAGGATCGGAAGGGACCTCAATAGATTGAATCCGATCCCCTGCATAGACAGGAAAGTGCTGGGTTCAGCTGACCCCAGCCAGATGCCCATTCAACCTCCTCTTGAAGACCCCCAGGGTAGGGGAGAGCACCACCTCCCTTGGGAGCCCATTCCAGACCTTGGCCACTCTAACTGTGAAGAAGTTCCTCCTAATGTCCAGTCTAAATCTGCT